CCCTCATTTCCCTTGGTCCTAATGTTTCTCACGTGCTGCAACTACCCGTTCTATTCCTCGTGCCTGACAAAGTCTCCAGAACTCATTCACAGGAGCCACTTTGACTCTTTTTTTTTTCCTTCCTGCTTGACTTCATCTCCCTATTAGATGGATCAGTCAAGTCTCTCTGGCTTATTTTAATTTCTCTTTTCTGTGTTACAAAAGAGGACTGAGGGGAATCCTTCTTTCTAGAAAGGAGGATGGGAGAGATTACAAAGTCACAGCCTGCTTTGAATTTTTTTTATCCCCTGTAACACATCATCTCTGTGCTGGGCTGTGTGTGTGTCACTGCTCGCCTGTGCTTCCTCTACCCTGTCACTGCCTTCCTGCCCCAGCACTGTCCAACCTCCCTTCCCAAAAAACAAAATGAGGAGGCCCAGTGGCCTGTGATACAGTCAAGCTTTCTCCATAATCTGTCCCTTATTCAATTATTTGATTTCTCCTTGACTCACCATGGGCAAGAGAACCTGACCTATACTCATATCTGGGTGAAAGAAGTCCAGGTTGGAAAAGGGGAGAATGAAATTTAGGGAGGTAAACCACAAGGTGTATGTGTCTTTACCTTGCTGTTTATTTTCTTATGGAGATGAGTAGGGTTCTTCAGATATTAGAAATAAAAATTAATTCTATATTATTATTTGTACACCTTTGTGTGGTAAAGGATATATTAAATGGATATAGGAAAGAAAAATGCAATACATACTTAATAGCATTTACCATGATGTCCACGAGCAATGTGTCAGGAATGTTCTTTCCTTTCTTCAGCAACTCTTCTGATTTTGCACCAAGCTGAGCACGCACAGTGAGCTGCAAAAATAGGCAACGAACAGCAGAAGACAGCTGATTTAAAAGGCAGATTCCAAATGTTTGGCAGAAAAAAACCAGTTGCATGGTTTCTAATAATCATGGTAGTGATTATTTGGCACAATTCTGGAGCCAGGGAAGCTTTTAAGCCAAATCTGTATGCGGATTTTAAGGGTCCTTCTCTGAGGCACTTTTCCTTCCAGCTTTAATTTTCAGCTTGTCTGGCATCCCCCAACTTCATCCTCTGATATCTGAGATCAGAAAGATGGAGCTTTCTGCTTGAGTTCTAGCCACTCTTCTTGGACAGACTGGGGTGTGTCCTCTGGACAAACCTAGTTCAACAAGGTTCTTGTCCAGGGATGATCTCTTCTTTCAGTGGTCAAATTCCATATCTTTTCTGACTGTTTTTGCTGCTCACTTGTTTTGCCTTTGATGTTTTTGCTGTTTCCGTTTGGCCTCACATAATTTGCTTTTATATTTCGCCCAGCATTTGTAGTTGTTATCTGTAGGTTACAGATTACAAGCTACTTGACATTGTGGGTGCTCCAGGAACTTCCCTAGATCCTGTTCTTAACTCAGCGACCAGAGTGTTTGGTGTCAAATGATGTTCTATCTCTCTGTGCTCAAAACCCTAAGAAAGTTCTCCCTTCCCCCCACATGTCCCAATAACTTCCTGCTAGGCCATGACTGAGCTGATTCCCTTCTCACACAGAGCTGCAGCCTTATCCCTTCCTACGCTCTAGGCCCCTCCTTTCTGCCTCAGGCTGTCTCCAGCACACAGCTCCTCTCCCTGCTGCGTGCTCCCCAGACCCAGGGAACTGGCCCTCTCACCTTTTTCAATCTGCTTAAATCTCCTTTTCCGGAGAAGGCCCAGCCTTGGCTAAGCTCCTGCTGCCCCTTGCTCCACTCTGCTTTTCTTTTCTCACAGCACTTATCACCACCTCAAGTCTAACATTTGTTCACGCAGTTTATTATCTGTCTCCCTCTACTAGAATATATATGCCATAAGGGCGGGAAGCCCTGTCTTTTTTGTTCACTGATGTATCTGGATTGTTAAAAAATAGGACACAGAACAAATACTCTTTAAATGGAGTCAAATACGAAATTTAAGGGGTTTGTAAATCCACAAATGTAGAATATAAAAATATACTTAACCCTTTTTGCTGATTCATATTTCAAATGCACAGAGTAAAAATCGTAAACCCCTCTGTATTCCTCTGTTTTGTCTAAGTCCATTTCCCTCCCCATCAGTCATCTTATTTACAGTTTGGTTTACAATCTTCTAAAAATGTTTCTGTCTTTAAGAAGTTAGAAAAATATTATAAAATATTATAAAAATTTAAAATTATAAAAATGATTTCCTTGATGAAATGCTAAATAAAGTAACCAAGTGTAATAAAGTAAACAAAATTCCATTTGATTAATCTGGTCATTCTATTTGATAACAAGAATAGCAAAATATACAGTAAAGCAGTATTATTTATGGGAACATTAATTTCCATTAGGAGCAATAGTGAGTGAATTGTAAACATTTTTTCAAAGATTAATAAAAAATTCTGTAGAGTTGCCAACAAGAAAAAGGATGAATTCTGGAAACATTCTTTAAAGGCAAAGAGGATATGAAAGGAAACAAAAGCCATAAATTAGAGGGGAAAAAAAACAAACCTACATACATAAAAATAAATTTGGCATTAAGTCCAAAATTTAAAAGGCATGTGTTTGTTTTCTTACCTGGCAAAACTGAATAGTAACTTTCACTGTTTTAGATAAAATTGTTAAGAACGTAAAGAGTGTTAAGTAAACTCAGATTAGCTAACAGTTTACCATTAAATTTACTTTAAAACCAGAGGAGCACACCTTTATTTCATTCAATTTGAAGACAAACCAAAAGGCCATGAATCATGACATATCTGAATATACTAATAGTCAAAATTAGATTAGGATACTTACTTTGGAGAAATCTAAACTTGATCTGGCTTCCTCAGTATTTGATGTTCTATTAGTATCTGTACCTAGCAATAAGTAAAGTGGTAAGAACACATTTCTAGTATTGGATTCAGATATGCCTGAGAAGCTCCGAGGAAGAAAGTGACAGGATTACGGTAGCGTAGCTTTTACTTCACTTCTGCACCACTGAGATCCACACCGCCCTGTGCCTGGTGTTTTCCTCTCTGTCTCCTTTCTGCTTTCCCTCTCTTCTCTCCCTCCTTCCACCCCCCTTCCTTCTCTCCTGACTCCCACCCTCTCTTCTTTCTTTCCCTCCCTCCCTGCCTTTCTTCCTTCCCTCCCTCCCTCCTTTCTGCCTTTCTTTGTCCCTTCCTATATGGCCTGATCTCATAATAATACATGTATCACTAGAAAGTCTTTGACACAGTTTGGGTTTTCTTCTCAAAAGACAACCCAAGTTTCTCAAGAAATGTTGTTAAAATACTAACTTATTACACTTTTATTTTCCAGGGTTATGAAGTTATAGATAACAAATACATTTAAGAGTAGAGAACTCTAGAAGTTAGGGTGGGGTTAATTAAATTCAATGGAAAAAAAATAAGTTTTAAAAGGTTTGTTTTTAATCGATTAGACTAATGCAATAAAATACGTCATAAAATACTTGTGCTGGTTTAAAAAATTAATTCAAATGATCCCTTAAGAAACAAATAGCTGGAATAACTAATAGATGATGCACTTTTAAAAAAAGGAAAGTCTAGCTTCTCTGGGAGAGTTCGTCATAAATCTGGACATTCTTCAACGCTGCTAATATCAATAATGATGGTGACAGGGAGAATCCCAGGCTTGTGCTAGAACATGAGGAAACATGGCAAGACCTTCACTAGCACAAATAGAAAAAGATAGTTAATACTTACAATTGTTTTCCTTAATGGTTCTATGAAGGAGCTGAAAAACCAAGGACCAAATTTCAAGGGAGATTACTTTTGTTAGGTTTGGGAAGCTTGGTTCCATTGCTCTTGTTTGAAGTGGAGAATAAACTTCACTTCATCAAAGGAACTGCTGTGCATGTGGATTGAAAAGACCAGTGCCGCCTCTCAGAGCAGTGAGCAGGGCCAGGCACACAGAGGGCCCGGAGAGATGAGCAGAAACGGGAAAATACTGTCTCCCTGCCAAGCCTGGAAGAGCAAGGATGATTTATCTTGGCTGTTTTCACAACAACAGCAAAACTATGCAACTCTCTGAAGGAGAATGAAAAGATTCCTTTGTAATTTTTATGTCTCATCCTAGTTGTAGACAGGGTCATCTTGCTGTCTGTCAAATGACCATATGGAAAATGATGCAAAACTCTCCAGGGCTCCTGTTTTATTCCCTGAAAGCATGTTTGTGTGTGTGTGTGCTATCACCGTTTGTCTGTCTTTCTGATGGAAATAATGCATGATTTGCTTGTGTATCTACTCACTAAGTATGGATTCACCATCTTTACCTGGGAAGACTTCACCTAAGCCTGGATCAGCTGCTTTTCGTGGATGCTTTTAGGAGAAAACACAGACACAGGGAGAAGTTTTAACACTGTTATATTTTAATAATCTTCCTAATTTTATATCTATAAGTAAGGGTATGAGAACACTATTTTATCTGTAACATTAATGATATTGAAGAGGTTGAATTTTCAGCCCTAAATTAGAATCTCTAAAAACAAATAATATTTGATGATAATTATGCTTTTTGAATCACACAGTAACTTGTGGTATTTCCAGTGACCTTTGATATAAAATATAGCAACTGCTGTTTTGAAAGTACAATGGAACCTAAGAAAAGGGTAGAGTTTGTGAAAACCTATCTTTAAATAACAATCCTAGAAGTGTCAGTCATAGCTACGGGGACATAAAAAAACATGCACATTATCTATTACTCTATTGATTAAAACAGAAAGAGTACCACAAGATGGATGAAGAGAGGGCTTGCAATGAAGAAAACTTCTCCCAGTTCTCAGAATTCCTGGTTAAATGGCATTTATTTTGCAGCTCATGCAAATGATCTGGACCAGATTCTAGGCTAACTTATTCATTTCAAAGATGGTATAAATTCAGGGAAAGAGTATGGAACTTAGAATCTGAAACTTCAAGCACAGAGAAGCTCATTGACAAGCTTTGTGACCCCAAGCAAACAGTTCATGCTTAGGGTCTCCACTGTCTTTTCTGTGAAATGAGGGAGCTGGAGGAAATCAGTGATTCTCAAGGTGGGGCCATCTTCGTCTATTCATCATCCCCACCTCGGGACTCTCTTTGCAGTAATGTAATGAGTATAATACAGATGGGAATATGATACAGGTCAACCCTACAGAGAGCTGTCCACCCACAGTTGAGGTCTACTCATCTAGCATATATGGCCCATGAACCAAATTTGGCCCATTGTTTTTATACAATGCTGTACATCATTCAAGCAGCCTAGCACTGTGGGCCTGTAAACTAAGCCAGAAGTCCCCCTCTACCTCTGTTCACAGCCTCCAGACCTGCTTCAGCCACTGCCCAGGGTCAGTGTTAGTCTCCAACTACACTCTGGGGACTTTGATGTTGGCATCTGCCAGGCACTGAGTGGTAGGATCTCAGTCCAGGAGCTGGTGACTTCCTGAGTTACCCCATAACACTCATATGCTACCCTCTCAACCTCTATGGTCTAGTCATTTCCCCCCCAACTGACTCACCAGCCAAAGGCCCCTTCCTCAGGAGAATGTCTCCAGCTGATGGCACTAGGCACAAAGTGATCCCCCCCATAGTGGTGCCCTGGATGGTCCATCCATGCAAACCCACAGAAGGGGGCAGAAATTTTCTTTCTTAATATGTAAGTGGCCACATAACATCAATTTTGCCCTTTGGCGTATAGTATTTACTAAATATTTAACTTGAGTAGTACTCTGGACCTCTACAGAAGAGACTTTGGGTCTAGCAGATCCTTTAGACTCTGTTACTTTCTGACTATTGGGTGTACTAGATGCAGTAAAGGGAACTAGAATCATACTTGCCTGCCTTTCATTTTGCAGGCCTGGTGCAGCCTGCTCACTTCCCTGAATTGGCAGGATCTCTCTGGCTCTTTCATGGTCATGGAATGCTTGTATCGCTTCTTGGACAAGAGTGTCAATAGAAAGGATCTGAATAGGGAAATCTAAAGGACGAAAGATACTGTTATAAATAGTGTTGAATTTGGGAAAATGAAATTGTTGTCCTTATGTACTGGCTTTACCTTGTAACTGTCTTTTAGGCCCCCTATAACTGTCTTTTGTTTCAAGCTGCTTTTTTCATTGTGGTAAAACTCACATAACATAAAATAAACCATTTTAAAGGATACAATTCAGCGACATTTAGGCATTCACACTGTTGTGCAACCATCAGCATTACCCTGAAATTTTTCATTGCTACAAAAGGAAACTCCATGCCAATTAAGCTGTCACTCAATTCCCCTATCCTTGGAAACCAATAATTTAGTTTCTGTGTCTATGGATTTGCCTATTCTGGGTATTTCATGCAAATGGAGTTCTATACCTTGTGATTTTTTGTGTATAGCTTTTTTCACTTAAGGTTATCAAGGAGCATCGATAGATCAGCATGTATTAGTATTTCACTCCTCTTTGTGGTTGAATATTTGTGGTTTGGACAATCAATTAATTACATTATTCCTCCATTATAAAATTTTGGATGACAAGAGATTTTCCAACGTATCAGCCAAGCTTCTTTTGTGTTCTCTATAGACCTGGACAATTCCAGCTATAGTCAGTGTAAATAGAATCTAACAATGAAGGGGAGATTCTACCTTTTTGTAGAGACTTTAGAATGGTAGTTTTCCCACTAAATGTTTTCCCCAAGAAGCATCCTTTAACAGCAAAGGAAAGTAATTCTGGTTCTGTTGATTCAACTTGAGGAGGATGAGCTTTTTCAGCTAGTCTGTGAAGGATATGGGACAATATAGTGTTGTTGGGAGGTGGTTTATTATCAACCATTTCTTCTGGTAAGGCCCACTCTCCAACCATGTGCTGTAAAAATAACAAACAAGACAAAAATATTCGTAAAACTGGAATTTAGGCATATAAGAAATTTTAAAGATTGAAAGTAAATCCAAATTATAGCAAGCAATATTGCAAAGTGGCTCATATTGACAGATTCAGTCTACCTATAAAACTATTTTCCTAAATGCCTTGAAGTAAGAAAAACTTGTATTAGTCATGGCCTATTTAGGCCATTTTTGATAATAGTTCTCTAATTATACTACGTTATGTTATAAGTATATGCATACCTATGTTCTTGCCTTTCCTTTTATCAGTATTCTTTTTATATCCAAATATCAGATAAAATCATTTACTTAGAATGTAAGTTGTGCAATTTGGTAGGTGCTAAGGATGGCTTGTCTGGTTTGGTGCCAGAATGTCTGATATGATGACACTGGAGATAAAAATATACTTTTCAGAGCAAACAAAAAATACCCAAACTACTCATAATAAATTTTTCTTTTAAATTGATGGAATTTATAAGTATATAAATACATTTATATTTGATGGTCGTTTCTACACAAAGCATTCTTTATTTGTAAAAATTAATTTGTTTTAGTTTAATGTTTTTGGTTTTTCTACCAGTTCTGTGCATAATAATCACCTGCATTGTTCAAAATCAGCTAATACTGAATTAATTTGTGTAATTATTCATTGTATTATATTTGATTACTACCTTTTGCTTTCATTCATTGGAATTAGTTATAATTCTGATTAGATAAAAGATAATTATTTTATGTAATGTGACCAATCAGAAACTAACCAAATAAGAAAACAGAAACCATATAAAATTAGGTAATTTTAAAATAAAAAAGACTAATTTTAAGGCCACATTGAAGTGTAAATTAGAAAATTTACAATTTCCTAATTATTTTGGGCTATGCAGTCACTTAATACTTGTTAAGGGAAAATGGTCTTAGACTTAAATCCAATGAAATGGATTCCTGTAATGGTTTTTCTACTTGCTTTTTCAATTTTGTCAATTCCTTCATCTTTGAAGCATGATAACAACATCTATCTAACAGGACTATTGTAAAGATCAAACAAGAGGCGCCTATGTGACTGCTAACTATAAACAATGAAGAAGTCCTTGTTGGCCGCTGAGCCCTTTTCCATCACCAAACCACCTGTGGAACGTAGCCAAACCCAGCGGAACAGAAGATCACTGTGAAGGGAAAAGCATGTTTAGGTCAAGAAGAGACCCAGAGCCTGGCCTGTGAGGATAAGGAAATAAGAGATCTGATGGAACCACTGAGCAGAATCAGCAGAAATAGTTGATGAAGTTCCCAGTAAAGACCAAGGATAAAGGCTAAGTCAGGTAAACACGTCAAAGAGGGTAGAATGAGAACATGGTGAGTGAAAAGGTAGGAAGAATTGGGAAAAGGAAAACGCAGACCAGAATAAAGATGACTAGTTTATGGCAAGCTGAAGCAATTTTTACCTCTTAATTAGTAAAGAGGAATCAGAAATTTTTATTGGGTCCCTACTTGATATATATGTTGTCTATATAGATATGATTAAAATAATTATATAATAGAATATATAATTCCTTACTACTTTCGGCATTGTTAGAAATAGATTGATTATTAGGTCAAAGACTCTGATGTCCAGAGTGGGCAGTGCCAAATAAGTATCATCTATTACAAACTTGGCTTTAACAAGATACTTTTCCTGTGCAGATGTTTGCCATGTACTAGCATGTGATCTATGTTAACTGCTGGGCAAATATATACATTAAATATTAAGATGTGTTTATTTTAATAGTAATCTTTTTATTGTGCCTGCATAAACAGCTAAGTATGAATTTTGGGGAGGTGTAAGGACAAAATTCAAGATCCATCAACACCCAGGGGGTCCACCTCCACCTCTCTTTGTGAATTCTCATCTTCCTATATACAGAGATCAGAAAGTTACAATACAGAGTAAGCAAAGGCTACAACCTGTGCACTAGCACTGTATTTATTAATTGACCTACCTTTCCAGAACTGGAATTCTGGATCCCTGGGCCCCGCATTATTTATTTATCACTCTGATAGCTTGCCTGGATCCAGTGCTCTCACAGGCCTCTCTTTCTCCCCATGTTGGAATCTAATGGTTACTAAACTTCTGATTACTTCCACTGTGTCATATCCTTTTGGTTTTGTATGGCCTGATGTATCAGCCTCCTTCGTCTCCTTGTTATGAACCATGACTAAAAGCATCATGGGTGTTTATAAACAGTGTCTTTTTGGAAACAAATGTGCTTGAATGTTGGCTGAGGAGCACACATCATGTGCAAGCCTAAGATCTTCCATGCGTCCATTAGATTCCTGGCTCAATGGAAATGAGTGACTGAATGATGCTGTTGGTGGAGTTGCATGGTTTTCTCAACAGATTCTGTTTACTTCTCTTTGCATGATTACCTCTGAAACAAAGCCATGTGCATCTCATTCTCATTTCTTGCCACTTTGAACATTCAAGTTGAGAATGGAGCTTCATCATCATTCTTTTAAAGGAAGAGGAGACATGGCTTACGTAGATCAACATGGATACACGGAATGTGGGCCTTTGGAGATATTCATCACTTCATAAAATCTCAGAGTGCCACTATCACAACATTCAGCAAAAAAATAACATTGAGGTATGCCAGTGATACTTAGTGGTGACAGTCAAATGTGACTTTTGTAGAGCGGTGGTACTGGTACATGTGATCCAGTGTTTACCTTCACTAGAATTTACCAATGCCTGCACAGCTGCCCCAGAAATTTCCAGTTTTGTGTATTCTGAACATCTCACAGTTCAATTACTGATACATTTAGGAAAACAAAATAAGGGCCTTTCCCCTTAGGATAGGCTCTCCCAGGGAATATAACACTTACACAATTTTTGACACCTGCTAGTTTTCTTGGGTTTTCCTGAAATCCCTCTTTTTACCTGTGCTTGATAAACCTAACAACAGACAGATTATCTTGCTACAGTGGCCAAAGGACTTAAGGTGGAAGCTTTTCATAAATTGACTTTAAAAACTCCCTAGGTAGTAACTACACAATATGAGGCCATAGTCCTTTTAGAGTACGGCTGATATACTACAACCCTACCATGGCAAGACACTCAGGATGCTTTTATTTTGTAGGTACTGTGGCTTGCTTTCTCTCAGTATGTCACTCTGTAAGCAGTGAGGAAGAGATGACAGTCTGGAATACCTCAAATACAGATAAGGCTTGTAGTAGCAGCCTCAGGGTTCATTGTAGCTACTACTGATCCTTCAGTTTCAGGAAACATGAACTTCATGTTTGTCATGATGGACTGTTCTTTAGCTACTCAAGACTTGCAGGATTCCTTGTCACCAAACTTGCCCATTTGTACTGATCTGAACTTCCATGAGCACTCCGTGAGCTGCTTACTTGTCTCAGAGCATGACTATCACTTGTACTACACCTCCTAAGACAGTGACTTTCGGACATTTTTGACGAGGACCCTCCACAAAGAAATACTTTCTACATTCTGACAAGCATTTGTATATAGTTACATATAAAACAGGAAAAATGTTTTATGAAATGCTTATTATTATTTCTTGTGATATGCTTCATTTTCTACTATATTGTATTGTATTACCTTCTTAATTTTGTATGTTTCCATTAAAAAAGACTGGTTGTGAGGGCTAGCCTGATCCCACTTGTGTCTTTGGTTTCTGACCAGTTCAGGGAAACTATCTTGACCATCTTTGTTCCAGCTCTGAGAATTCAACCTCTGGCACTAGATTTCCTGCTTGACCCTCTGGCTAGGTCCGTTCTGGTCTCCAACCAGAGGGAATAAAATATTGCAAAAGGACAACTATTGTTATGGTAACATGAAAATCCTAGCGGCTATTCTCCATACTTCCTTCCAAAAAGGTTGTATTAGTTTGCAGTCCCACCAGTCATGTAAAAGTGTTCCCTTCTCTCCACATTCACACCAGCATCTGTGGCTTTGAGACTTTGTGATGTGGGCTAGTCTCACTGGAGTTAGGCGATATCTCAGGGTATTTTTGATTTGTATTTCTGTGATGATCAGGGATGATGAGCATTTTTTCAAATGGTTGTTAGCCATATGTCCATCTTCATTAGAGAAGGTTCTGTTCATATTTCTTGCCCAGAGGTAGATGGGATTGTTTACTTTTTTTCTGTTGATTAAGCTGAGTTCTCTGTCTCTACTTGTCAACCCTTTGTCAGATTGATACCCTGCAAATATATTTTCCAATTCTGAAGTTTGTTTTTTGCTTTAGTTCTTGTGTACTTAGATGTGCAGAAGCTTTTCAGCTTAATTAAATCCCAATTGTTAATTTTTGTTGTTGTTGCCATGGCCACAGAAGTCTTTGTCATAAAATCTTTTCCCAGTCCAGCATTATCAAGTTTTCCCCCACACTTTCTTTTAAGATTTTTATCTTTATCTTTTGTCTTTAGCTAAGAATTCAAATTAGACCTCCCATTTGATCCTGCAATCCCATTACTAGGCATTTACCCAGTAGAAAAAAAATCCTCTTGTTATAAGGACATTTTCACTAGACTATTTATCACAGATCAATTTACAATTTCCAAAACGTGGAAACAGCCTAAGTGCTCACCCACCCACGAATGGATTAACAAGCTATGGTATATGTATATTATGGAATACTATCCAGCCATTAAAAAGATGGAGACTTTACATCTTTTGTATCATAAGAATGGAGAAGCAAGAATCCGATGTACTCAATTCTAATATGAAGGCAGCATATGAGCTAATACAAGGGAAGAGAGGTGGGGGAATGAAGGACTGGAGAGAGGGGAAGAGGGAGGGAGATGGAGTTATGGTGTATGGCATACCTCTTGGGGGTGGCACACAATTACAGAGGGACTTTACCTAACAACTACAATCAGTATAACCTAATTCTTTGTACCCTCAATGAATCCTAAACAATAAAAAAACAAAAACAAATAAACACACACACACACCCCGCCCCAAAAATCCTAGTGGCTATATTCTAGTTAACT